ACTCACTCTGTAGACCTGGCTGGTCTCAAACTCAGAGATCCACCTGCCTCTGCCACCTGAGAGCCGATATCAAAGTGTGTGCCACCACCACCAAGCCCCTCTAGTCTTATCTCCTTCACATCCAGTTTTTGAATGCATAGATTAGAGCTGAACCACACTCATCCTGCATCTCTTTACAGGGCAAGGATGTGAGGGTGAAGGTAGAGATCTGGAGAGATACCTGTTCCACCTATAAATATTGCTCCTCTAATGCTAGGTTTCCCTCTGAATGGGCTTTGCTTTGCACCTAAGAAAAATTCATTTGAAGCTGACAAGTCATCAATTATGTTGCAGAAAAAATTTTAAATGGGCTTTGTGCTTCTAGAGTGAAAGCAACAGCAGAGTCAGGATGGGGTCCAGGATCTGGTGACATGGAACTTGTCACCGAAGCAGCTACTTGAAATAATACTATGCTAACTTGGATCTATCGTAATCTGAATTGGCTTTTAAAAATATAGCTCTGGCTGTTCTGGAACTTACAATGTAGGCTAGTCTGGCTCCAAACTCATGGAGATTGACTTGCCTCTGCCTCTGGAGCACTGGGACTAATGGTGTGTGCCACCATGCCTGGCTATAATCAGAATTTAATAATAGGGAAACTAAGAGTCAACTTAGAGTAACTGGCCCAAGTCAGCGGGTATAATGGGATTTAGTTCTAGCTGAAATCAAAGTAAACATTCTTCTTGGTGCATTGACCATGATATCAAATTATTGGATCTGAAGGAGAAGGAAAGCAGATCAAGTTCAGGTTGTCCCAGTCATTTTATCTTAAGTGTAAAAGCCAGTCACAAAAGACAAGTGCACTGTGATCTAACTCATATGTGGAATATAAAATAAAAGAACAAAGCTGTGATGGTTAATGTTAATTGTCAATGTGACAGAATCTAGAGTCACGTAGAAGATGACCTGTGGGTATGACTGTGAGAGATTATCTGAATTACCTTAATTGAAATGGGAAGGGCTTACCACTGTGGGTGGGATCATTCCCTGAATGCGATTCTGAGCATTTAAATGGAGAAAGTGAGCTGTACTGTACATATATGCATGCATACATTCCTCTCTCATTCCTGATTATGGCTATGATTCACATTCTTGCTGTCTTGACTGTGCTACCATGATGTACACTGAACCTCAAGTTAGAGCTAAAGTAAACCCTTCCTGAAGTTGCTTTTGACAGAGCATTTTATCATTGTATCACAACAGAAACCAAGACAAAAACACAGCCCAAGTGTAAACAAAGCCCCAACCCCAAATGTAGGGTTGACATTGATAATCACTTAATTTTGTATTTTTACTAAAACATATTTTATATTTTAAACATTTACAATTTAAAGGACAATACAAGGTAGAAGGCCCAGAAAGTAGTTTTATCAACAAGTTCAGACACCTTTAGACTCACTGTAGTATGACTCAATGTAGTATGGTCACATGATTGATGTTAAGGAAATATATGTAACAAGAAGCCACCGAAGATGGAGAGATGCCTGCCTCAAATTCTGGGACTCTACTGAGAGAACTTCCCTTGATTGTTAACTTCCTGTACCCTTCCTGTTATTTCCAGTTCTTGCTGGACTTTTTGCAAGGAGCCTGTGTTCTAGGGTGTCTCTGAGACAAGTCCAGCCTCTGAAGGAATCAGCAGCTGTGCCTGAGGTTTCAGAGAAGTCTGTTACTCAGTCATGCCTTCCTACCTGCCTGCAGGTCTCTAGGAAGAGGAACTAATGGATTATCAATGAGACCTCCACATTTAAAAGCACACAAGAACAAATAATTATTTAATTAGGAAAAAAACTCTTTAAAGTGACTTAAAATGGTGCATGTTTATTAGCACTGGAATGTTCTCAGTGTTGCTTCAGAGGCTGCACATTATATTTGTTTGTTTCCATTGGCATCTACTGATCATGGAGAGAGCATCTACTTTACCCAACCCTATCATGTAGTTCTGATCTGGATTAGCATTTGCTTATTCAGTAAGCATTTATTGTATACCTACCATGTGCTAGAAGGTACTTTTACTCTGATACACTCAATGCTCTGGGGATCTACTTCCCCCTCTTTTTTTCCCTTTCCTCTTAGTCTCTTTCTCTCTCTTTACCCCCTTTCTATTTTTCTTCCTCATCCCCCCTCTCTCCACACTCACATATATACACACACATGATTTTTTGTACCATAAAATATTCAAAACTAGATTTACTGGTCCCAGCAACCAGAAGTGTTGATGGCAATAGCTAGGATTTCCCCCTAAGACTAATCAAATTAGTTTTCAGAGATAAAGTGATTTCAGGAGGTTCGAAAGGAAACAACAAGACTTACTTATAAGCATGGCTGCTTCCAGCATTTTAGCATATCACTATGAGGTATGATTGAACTGCATGTACCTGGACCAAAGGATTAGTGTAGCACTAGCATCTATCACATGCCTATAGGGCTGGGATGAATATCAGTATTCAGACTACTCAAGTCCTTCTTTTACTTTGGAGAATAGTGTGTGTGTGTGTGTGTGTGTGTGTGTGTGTGTGTGTGTGTGTAACACTCTCCCTACGGTATATTTCCCATTCCCAGCATTCAGGTAAGTTTCTCAAGTATATCTCTTGATATTACCTCCAAGATTTCTCAGAACATTATGAAAAACAAAGGTGGCATGCATTCCCTAACACATGGCTTAGCCAATCAGATGCTCTCTATCACTTTACTTGAAATATTGCTAAGTGAAAATGGTACTCAACAGGAAGGGAAACATGGCTAGAACTGTAATGAAAATACTGTTTCCATCTCTTTCATGTTGGGTAAGGAGTCATTCATAGCTATGTTTCCACACAGGATACATCTTGGATCACTATAACTGATCTCATGCTCTAGAGATACCCTCTTCTCATATTTTCTAATGGTGTTAAAAAGTGGAAAGTTTAGGGTATCAGAGTGGGTAGCAAAGTCAAGAATATAGTGCTTACTGTATACAAGACTAATCAATGAAAGTATTCCAGCACAAATATAATTCATAAAGGATTTAATAAACAGCCGCTAGGGATTGCATCAAAGCATTTGGAAACACAATTTCTACAGAGAGGCAAAGGTCAAGCTTCCATTCTAAATCCCTTAAAACAATCATTAACAGCTCCCCATCCCACCCCCATCACTACACATCCACAAGACTACATTCCTCTAGTCATAAATTTACCTACAGACACATTCTTAAGAATAATGGGACTGGCATGCATTATCCCAGCAATGGCAAGGAAGCAGGGGATAAAGGAAAGATGGATGAAAAGGCAACCAGCAGCTAATGATACACCCCTAAGGAACTTTGTTCAGTGGGTGGGCAGAGAAGCTACTTGTGGCTTTACCTTGGACATTCTGGGTACTCTCAGCTAGTTGAGCTATCCAGATCCAAATTGGCTGGGGCTGTTGTATTAAACAGTCTTATTCCTTTGAGTCATTACTACTAGAAGTGATCTTCTTGGAGAATGCCTTGCTACATTTCTAAAGACCTTTATAGTATCAAACTGTCTTCATGACCCAGAGGGCTCACTGTGGCTGTGCTCATTCTAAGGTAAGAATGGCCATGGCTTGTCAACTATTTCTTCATTTTGGCCTTTGGAAATGGGTATAGGATATTTCTTTATTAAAGACATCTGTAAGAAGTTCAGGGAAATTATTCAAATTTCTAGGACTACCTTATAAAAATTGTGTGTTTATGTCTGTTCTTTTTGCTTACATTTAAGAACAAAATGAGATCAAATGGCTTCTGATACATTATAAAATTGGTAATAAAGTTAATGATTTAACTGACTCAAAAATAAGTAGAGATATTTGTGTGAATCTGCAATT